CTGAGCCACAGACGAGGAAACTCACCCGAGCAAAAGCTTGCAGGGAGGTTGTAGGTGATGTGAGCACAGCAGGACGACGAGCAATCATGTCCTGCTCATTATATTGGTCATTGGGTGTGGAAAGCCTCTCTTCCCCCCTAAAGGTGTTAATTTAGTTTAAAAAAAAAAAGGAGCAGAGTGTAGATCCTCCTCTCTGAGCATGGTGGCTCACAGACCTTATGAGTTCCGTTTTAGCAGATTGTCCCTGTTCTGAATAGCTTTAGTGTTTAAATCCTTATATGGGCAAAGAATCCTGCTAAAAATGTTCTGTTCTTTACAATGAAATGCCAGGAAAATTCAGGATTTAGTACCTTAAACATTAGTGTTTGTAGAGGACGTGTAAAACGGATTGGACAGGGATTAGTTAAAATGACCAGTCATTACCAAGGGTTGGTTTTACTGGTCCAGCTGGATCAATAGACAGTTAGATTTTTGCAACGTTACACAAAATATGCAAAGGTTTTCCATTTTCCCCCGCTTTAAAGTACTATAGATTTTTTTTAGAGCTGGTTTGAGCAGTGCCCCTCCCTCACCTGTTGCTGCTAACAGAAACAGATCGTATTACTTTAGCCATTTTGGGGATAATGTTTGTCAGAAATAAAAACAGATATTATTTTGATCCAGCTTTTAGCAGATAGAGCTTCTGATATTAAATTTTAATTTTATGATCCCATCTAGTAGCTATAAGAATGAGAGCATATCTCTTTAAATGCAATTAATTGATTCTCAATTAATTGGCTGATTGGCTGCTTTGGTTAGCTACCATCCAATCAGCATTAAGGATTACAAAATGTGCCTAAATTAGAGGGCAGCAGTTTACTATGGAAACTTAAAAGTACAATTAATTTAATGATTTATTCAACATTGGACAAAAATAATTGATTCAATCTTCAAGCCCCTGGTGCCATTTAAATTGTTTTATTAATAAATGGCAAGAATGAAGGTTTTATAATTTATAATAGGCAAGTATTCCATTTATTCATATATTCAGTATTTTCCATCAGCCTAACCCTTGGTATGTAGTGGACGGAGTCGCTGCTCTGGACATTATTAGTCCAAAGGGGGGACTAATAATGTCCTAGGCAACAAATCACAAGTTAAGTTCATGTTTAATGAGCCACAGTGATGGTTCTACTGTAGCGTAACGCAGAGCAGCACAGGAACCATGAGAGAAATGGAGAAAACTGAAAACAGTCCCAACCCTTATAAAGTAGTTACCGGTATTGTTAGAGCTGGGGTTTTTTTCTTGCTAAAATTGTATTTTTATTTTTAACAATTCATGTCCAATCTGATTTGCACAAAAGTCCTTTCTTCACTTCTATTTTCAGGTATTTTTAAACATCAGAAGGTAGGATTTAAAAGTACTACCTTTTATTTAACCCAAATTTATGTCCATGTGATTCCCTTCCACTGAACTTTGCCTCCTTTATCTATTTGACCCCCAACACCCCGACTGAGGACCTGGAAGTACAAATAGGAAGGCGGCTGTAGGTTGCACTGCCTAGTGTGCCTTATTTCAAATCTTAATAGATCAGATTTAATTTAGTTTTAGATGGGGTGGGTCTTCACCATGGGGTGTGATCCTACAGCAGAAATAGATTATAAATATATTAACACTACACTAATTAAAACATGTTGGTTTTAACTGCGATCTAGGCAACAAAAGTACATTTTTATTAAAAAAAAAAAACAGCTGGCTGACGTTTGAGCCAACCAGAGGAACTTGGCTGAAGCGTCTGCAGCAGATGAAATGGTATCTTTAAATGTATTCACGTCTAGTCAGGCCTCAGACCAGCTGGGGGAGGTCGGGCTCCACTTGAGCAGGAAGCAGCCGTAATGAGAGCCCCACAACAACCGCTTTCCCTTAGTGTTTTAATATGGGAGGCTGAACTCCCTCCAAAGGTGCTGACACACCGCCGCCCGCTCTCTGGCCGTCTGTTTGAACTCAACGTATTCTATTGTCATTACAGTCAGTTTTATTTTGTAAACTTGATTATTTTGTATTTCTAATTTTCTTTGCTTGAATTGAGATTGTTAGGCATGTTTGGATTTCTAATGAACAAGGCCAATTCTAGGCACACACCCTCCCACCAATAGTGTGTTACAGATCCCTTTTTTATTATTATTTTTTATCTATCAGCAGACTAGAGAAGCTGGATTCTCATCTGTGGCCGTTGCAGTATAAGTTTTCTGTTTCTGTGGTAAATCAAGGTGTTTACTGAAGCTTTATAAAAGGTTTAACGGCATTCTCATGCTTTTTGGAGATGTTTTGAACAGGTGCTGACTGAACAAGACCCCCCTTCTTTTTCCTCAAACCTTTCAGGTCCACTCCAACTCAAGCTTGCGTCTGCCTTTTTTCCTCTTATCCTTGGTGACTTAAGCAGAGACGGTATGCAAACAGGTGATGACAGGTTAGCACTTGGACTACTGCAGTGAAGGGGGAATAAAAAACAATGCTACCTCAGCTTAATTTATCTTAATGCGTAATCTGTTTACCGGGTGCTAAAGTACTGTCACATCCACAGTATCATATTCGGTACCAGACGAGTCAAACCGCAGCTGCTGCAGTAATCCAACAGTTGTTTATCTCTCTCAATGTGTTTGTATGTTTTGAATTTGAGCCAGATGATGATGATTGCGTTAAGGATGTGATGCAGGCTGTATTTTAAAGCTTTAGTTTCAGGTTCCTTGATCTGTTCCTCCTGCATTTTCTCAGCTTCCTAAAAAAAAAAAAACATTTTGTGCAACTGTCGCTTTTGCTTTCCATAAATTCTTTCCCGCTTTTTTGGCAGATTTTCATCTCATTCTTACTATTTATTAGCAATTATTTTACACGTAATATTCATGGAATTTTCAGATTTTTTTTTGTATGTCATGAAGTTGTTCATTGAGCATTACACGTGCGTTTTGTAGCGTTTGTGTAGCAGGTTTATTTGGCGTCTATCGGGGGGTGTTAAAGGGTTTACAGGTCTCTCAGGTTCAACATGGGACAAAATGCCCTTTGAGCTTTTGTTTTTTTTTATTTATTTTATATTTTAAGTGGTTACAGACTGTGACATACTGGAAAAGACTAGCACAATAGTAGTTAAGGTACTATGCTTTGTGCTAAACAGTTTAAAAATGACCAGACTGCCAAACATTGTTTTATTGATTTATATAAATTTGAACATAAAATTTGGGTTGTTAAATGTCATACATTGTTATCTTCCTTTCTTATGGATTTTAGCCAGTTTGGACTAACAACCAATTTTTGTCTGGTAGATGAGACTACTTAGTCCAGTATGCAGAATAAAATGGTTTGTTGTAACCCTACTTTGTTTAATTCTTCCCCTTTTTTTGTGTCCCATACTTCTGTTCAGAGCGTTTTGTAGCCTTGTTGGTTCTGTTCCTTTGTGTATTTTAAACACCTGTTCACAATGTTACTTTAGTGTAAGTTATATTTGAAATCTCAATAAACTGCTGTTGATATACTTGAATAAAGGTGCAAACTAAATAAAAAAAACTCCTTGGAAGAAAGTTGAGGGGTGGCACCTGGAGCTTTTTCACACTGCACCTACATACTACACTTACAAACCTTAATTACTTTTAATTAAAGGAAAATCAAACACGTACACCCTGCAGATATTAAAGTTGTGGTTTGCCTTTTTATTTAGGCTTTTTTACTCCGATAGCTGTAAATCAGTGTCTTAACTGCCTTTGAGGGTCTTCAATCTACTGAAGCATCCTCCTTTAGTATAAATCCAGCTGTTCTTCAAAGGCTTCAGAGGTTGGAGAATATTAATGAATAAACAGCAGCTGGCAGGGAGAAACATGAGACATTTAAGGCAGGATTAGGTCATATCTGATGGTCTGAACATCTCTGGAAGACAGCAACTAGTAAGAGTATGGCCCTGTCTCAATACTCGCACTAAACCCTATGCCCCACTATGGTGCAAGTGCACAGGATTGCAAATTTTCTAGATTTACTTGCTAAATGGTTTTTTCCAATGTTACTGCTAAATATTATTTTAAAACTGCAACAAGAAATGTCTCATATGCAGTAAAATATTAATTATTTGGATTATTACACATGAGGACCGATTTTCATCACAGGTACTTGAGCTCACTTTTAATTTTCTTACCTTTTTCTTGGGCAATAAACTAGTAAAATTCAAACGAGAGGATACAAAAAGATGTGGAGTAATAAGTAGCTGGAGCAAGAACAAAAATGAAGGAATAAAAAATATTCAGGCTTGTCAGCACATTTTCCTTAATTTTTTTTCCTTTTCAATGTTTTGATAAACGGAACTAGAAAAAAATAAAGGTGTGGCTACTTTCCTTTTGCAGCAATAAATATTAAAAATTAAAAAATCTGTAAAGACCAGATTGCTTTTGAAAAAAAAAGACAGAAAATGGGAAATTATTTTCTCTGTAATTTAAGTTCTTCTTTAAAATGAATTACCAACGTATATTGAGTTTTGTATTTTAAGTGGCTTTCTTTAACCATTGGAGAAATGGTCAGTTGAATTAAATACCACAGAGGGTCACTGTTCCTAAATGTGATTTTTTCTATACATGGTTCTTATTTATAATTAAATAGAAAAGGGCAATCTGAAATAAGGCTGCCTTGATCTGTTGCTGGAAAGTTAAGCCTACAGATCAAACTAATACTTCAACATTAATTAGCTCTAAATCATGGTGGTGGCTGCATCATGCTGTGGGGATGCTGATCAAAGATGAGTCCAGTCAAAACCTGCTAAGATGCTACAAAAGCCTTAAAACTGCGACAGAAACTTACCTTCAGGGGCCCAACCCTTATCACTATATAATAATTTAAAATCTGAAGGCTTAAACAGATGTTCCCCATTTAATCTCAGCTTGAAAAATTGTGTCCCCACATGTGCAAAGCTTGTTATAAATATCCAAACCTTGTACCTGAGTTTCACTTTGACTGAATACACAGAAGCAGACAGGACAACGGATCCACGTTCCTGTATATGTAGTAGGGTTTAATAATAACGATTGTTAGTTGCTTCTTTTTGGGTACAGATTTACAGACATATGTTGAATCCAGCCTATGAGTCTTTTTTGTTTTTTTTCTAAAAACATTTATACAGAATTGCTTTCAGGTTGTAAAATATACATATTTCCTTCCTGTATTTACAGAATACCAGCCCAGCATCATTTGTGGGCTGAGATAAAACACACTGTATAAATCAGAAAATAGGGCGGGGGGGCAGATGAAAGACGAAAGAACCCATGGATTAACAGATAACATCTATGGTAACAGTCACAGGTGAATATTGTGCTTTTTTTCCCCCTTCAGTATCAGATCAGACGATGACAGGAAGAGGAATCCCTCTGTCTGTAATGTAAGCTTTGTCCCAGAAAGTAAAGGCAGAAGAGGGAAGGCTTCGGATTATTTTTCCTTTGTTGTTGTGCAACTCCAGCCCCAATCTTGAAATCTCAACATTTTCAATTTTTCTCACAGTGAACTCTATATGACCCAGATTTGATCATCTTCTAAGTTTAATGATTCCTTAAAATAAAAACTGGGTCACAGGGAGTTCACAATCTGGTTCTGCAGCTACCTCATAAATTCACACGATTAATTTGGCTTTCTGACACAGTGGAGAGAAGAAGCTCCTCCGATCAGTCGACGAGGAGGAAAGCAGTGCTGCTCGGCTCCTCCATGCTTCCTCTTCTCATATAAATATCATTACGTCTAAACCTAAACCTGGCGAACACCCGATATGACAAAAGCATGGACCTGCAATGGATTTCACTGAGGTGATGGACTCATAACGATCTGGAAGAGACTAACTAAAAAGACAACCTCACTTAAATAAACCAAAAGCTTAGAAGTTACTAAGAGGGCCCCTGTGCCTGTTGGATGAGAGGATGAACTACTACCATGACACGTACAGCACTCGAGGTTAGGCATCGTCACCTGGCATGGCTAAGTAGCATGTAGAACATGAGTACATTCTGCACAGGGTTTTGTTCCATGGGTGAGGGGTGAGTTTGCAGGGTTAGCCGTGTGGATCGATGCTGATCGGTCGGCCCCTTCCTCTGAGTGGCCGTCACACATCATCGTCCCACATGGGGAGTTTGGCTGCGACCCGGCACGATCCAGTCCGAGCTACCGTCAGCCGCTCTGGATGTACTTCTTAATGACCACGCAGCCGTGTCTGAAGAGCGGGCAGGGCAGTGACTGCAGGAGCGTCCATGTGTTGGTGCTAGGGTCAAAGGTCTCCATGTTGCCCAGGGCTGGACCCTCGCTGCTCACGATGCCTCCTGTGGCGTAGATCTTACCATCCAGGACGACGGCACTGCACAGCAAGGAGACAACAGTTATAGTTATCAAACAGAGATTTGGGCTTTCAGATTGGATGTTAAAGACATACAGTTCTGTGCAACCCGGCTTTCTGATTGTTAACTAGTACATGTGCAGGTTACAGTTTATACTACTAACAGTAGAGGTTCCACTGCAGCTCAATGATCTTGACATTCAAATCTGATTCCTAAAGGCTTTTATGCCAAAATTCTTTTGATAAAAAAATAAAAAAAATTTTTAAAGATAATTTGGCAGCTTTTTTTTCAGGAGCTGGACAATGTCACCGTGATCTACTGACAAATTTAAATTCTGAAAAGGTTAAAGCTTCAAATTTGCAACACTCTTCCATCATAGCCTTCCTTTCAGATTCACTTCCTTTTAACAATAGTCCAGTTATATGGAAAACATCTCTTTGGAGCAAAACCCGTCCAGGAAACACACAACCAGGCAGACGAGCTCTGAGCCAACTCCCATGCCAGAGGATGAAGAGAGCACATCCAACCAGTCACAGTCAGAGAAAGGGGACTACACTGGAAAACAGACCGATCTACAACATCTAAAATGTTATTAAAGTCCCGCTGGAAGAAGAGGAGGTGGTAGTGGAGGCTAACGTGGTGTCAGTGTAGACAACAGACTAGAGGGACAGAACAGACTCTACTTCTGATGAAGCTAAGGTCTCTGTGTTTGCAGCCAGATGCTGCAGATTCACCGGTCTGTTGTGGTATTGTAGAAGAATCAAAGCCTGCGTCTAAAAACAGCCTAATAAAGCCGGCTGGTTCTGTTCTGTTTTGGTGCTTCTGGTTTGGGACTTCGTGCGAAAGAGGGATGCATAAAAAAAAATCAGGAAAAAAAAACATTTTTGAAAGCAACTTTGAATGTTTTGCCTATACCTAAACCAACAACAGCAATATAAAAAAACTCATAGAAAGCATATAGTTGGATTTTCATGTCCTTTTGACATTTTTCCATATCAAAAAGCTGACTTTTTATTAGGTTTTTTATCTGCTTCTGTGTGAAGTTTAAAAAAATCTAAACTCGATGTATGAAATCAGATGAAAAGGTGATATTTAACAAAAAGAAACCAATAAATTCTGCTTTACTTGCTTGGAAAATCGTAAAAGAAAAACAGTAGCCTTCTGAATGTGCTCTTGAAGTGTCCTCAGGAAGGTAGATGTAAAAGCATCAGGTTCAGCTGCCTGTTTATGTCTCTGTCAATAGCAGCTCAGAAAGGTCTGCTCCTGTCCCTGACATCCGGAACCAGTATTACCCAGTCAATAGGCTGGTAAAAAGGTTAAATAAGCCAGCTGGTTACGAACACGCAGTCAGGGCAAAACGAGGTCATCAGCATCTATAAGTAGCTTTATGTAAGTTAATGCTGAGGCTTGGAAATGAGATAGCTGGGACTCCTGGCAGCAGCAACATAGCTCATGTAGTTGATCCTCTGATAACAGACACTCATCTATTCAAACATGTTGATTGTGGTGCTGGCGGCTGTGCCTGCCATCATCTGACACCAGCCGGCGGTTCCAGAGCAGGAAACAAAAGTTAAATCGCACATTACATTACCTCTCAAGGGCACAAAGAAAGAAGAAAACTAATGAAAAAGCAAATATCTTTACAAATGTGCTCATTGGATCGGAGAAACAGAAGCAGGAGTTTATGTGTGGAAAGGATTAAAACTTGGGCTGTAAGCTGATTAGAGCTTTGTTGCTCCTATTGGGCTTTGGAATGATCTGCATTTACATAAGGTGCACGCTACCAGAAATGAAATAAATAAACAGACGCAGCCGACAACGAGCAGGAATCCACCGCGCTGCTGGGATGCAGGAAGATTGAAGCTTGAATCTGCTCAGCTGATCCAGTGGAGAGGGCACAGGGTGCAGCCTGGAGCTGCTTGTTCTGATAAACAGAGGGGGGGTGCAGAGCCTGCTGAGGGCCCGGTGCAGTGAGGAGAGGGGGGGCTGAATAACCGCTCTCCTGCATGGTGACCTGCCAAGCTTCATCCTCACTGCAGCCATTTCTGAGCGCCATTCTCTCCCCACACCATGAATTTCTTGTTTTTCATCCTTCCCTGCATCCTTTCCTCTCTCTGTTTTGTCAGACTTAGTTAAATGTAGCAGAACAGTTGCCTGCCGTGTGCTGGTGCAGCTTATCAATAACTCTGACAACATGATATATGCTGCACATTCTACCCATAAGACCAGTCTGTAATTGCCTCCCAAATGCATTTTGTCCACGGTCTTTTTTCCCCCCTATGTCTGAAACAGAAAAAAAGGACTAAAAAGTGAGTTTATTATTTGGTAAAACTGCACGCCTCATTGGCGCGGCTTAACGAGGATATTAAGGTGTGATCCCTTTGCTTTTAATTTTCACCTATCGCCTTCAAAGACTATTGTTTGCTTATAAATGGAGAGTTTTTGTTTTCCTCTTTTATGAGTAAAACTAAACACACATCCCTTTTAATCCATAACCCTCCATCTCTAATGGGCAGGGCGTCCCAAATGTTTCTATGGAGTCAGTGTGACTTAGGGCCACTGCTCTTTAGCCCTTATACTATATATATATATATATATATATATATATATATATATATATATATATATATATATATATATATATATATACATATATACATATACATACATTTTAAAACGATGGGGTAGGAACCGACGTGTTTCAAAATATGATCTCAACTCACAACCTGGCTGATAATTAAGCCAGATTATCTCGACTGCATTTTCTACTTGAACGCAAATGGATGCAGTAGACACATTTAGACTTAGATTTATTTTGTATTCACAAGTGTAAACAAAAAGAAATTCAGTTTAGAACAGCTCTCTAGACAATTTCCTTTTTTAAGTGCAGCCTTCATAAGGTAAGCAGCAGTGATAAAAAAAAAAAAAACCATTGTGATATTAAGTCAGTATATCTCGTTATGGAATGCGCATCATTCAGGTTTGCTTGGCAGCAGTGATGTCAGACGGATCTGGATAAGATCTTAGCATCCAACTGGGATTTTTACCCTGGTGGAAGAGGATCTGATCTGCTGGAGCATTAGGGACCTGTTGCCTGGGCTTCACCCCATCAGGTGTTGTTGAGCTGCTACTACTGCCTCCAGCTCCTGAAGGACTCGCTTCTCCTGGCTCAGGGGAGGAAGAGGACGAGGATGACGATGCTGTGAGGGTGGTAGCCCCCTGGGTTGAAGAGGCTGACGTGGTTGAAGCAGCAGTGGTGCATCGGCAGGTTTAGCAGCGACAGTAGATGCTAGAGAAGGTGTGGAAGCCAGAGGGGGCTGGGAGGAGCCGGTCGGGGAGGTTTCAGCATTTGACAGGGAAGCATCTAGAGCGCTCTCCTCATTTTCACCTGTGGAGAGCCGTGCTTCCCTTCTAGATGCTGAAGATTGCCTGGCAACAGTCTCATACTTCTTGAGTAATTCTTTAGTTTCAGTTGTCCTCTTAAAGCTCTTGTGGGCTTTCCACTTAGTTTATTATTTTTTAAATGTGGGATATCTATCCATTAAGGTCATTTATGCTACAGTAGAATCTCACTTTCCTTCTTTTTAAGAAAAAATCTGATCTGACTGCAGATGGTTCATCTCAAGGAGCGTATCCACTACAGAAATAAATGAATAGAAAATAAACACATAAATAAAACAGAGCTAAAATGTAAGTGTTTGATCTAATGGATATTTATTATGACACAGGGTTGCTGATATGATCAAAGATGGAGATTTTTTTTTTAAAACACATTACTGAATCAGACCATAAAAAAAGAAATAAATAAAATCTCCATCATCCAGGAAAAACCAGATTGGAACATCTCTAAAACTCCTAAACGGATTGTCCCGTTTCTCACCTGGACGAGGCTTAGGAATCGGGTTAAGCCTAAAAATGCTGTTGCTACAAACAAAGAAAATCATCTAAATGTCACGGTCATAATCAAAACAGTCTGAACAGAATCAATTCAGTCAAACAGTCCGTCACTGAATGGATGTTTTCTTTCTCTCAGCATGGTACACAGCAGCTTCCTATTCAAGCGCCACTAGAAATCAAGCCTGTGAATTAGATTTTTTTCCCCCCACCCTGGGCAAAGTTTTACTGCTGAACTGCATCGCTCTGAAAACCTGGACAGCCCACGGCAGGCTTTGTTTGTGCTTTAATTAAATGGCCCGGGTACATTTTCCCTCTACAGTTCCCTTTACCGGCGTGCCAACACAAAGAATGATGGATTACTAATGAGCCTTAGTCTCACAATAATGTCAGAGTGGTTTTTGAAGCGTCGCACAGGTCAGATCTAATGTGTGAGCCTTTAAAGAAATCTTTACACTTCCACACTGGGGATTTCCCCCCATTACATATAGTGCCACTACATTAATTATCTCTTACCTGCAGAACTGCCGAGAGTGATTCATGTTGGGTCCAGCCTTGATGTTGCCTTTGTCTGGGTCATAGATAGTGGTAGCTCGAGCGTAGGCTCCTCCCAGAATGAATATAAAACCGTTTAGACTCACAGCAGGGGCGTATTTGTTATCTACAGACAGAGAAAAGAAGAGCAGGGATTATTTTTCTCTTTTTACAAAGAACACAGAGCCTTTGTTTGGATGTCATTCTCTCACACAGCAGACATTTCCATTAAGTTTAATGGCATCAATTTGTTTTTTTATTCTACCTTTGCTGAATGAGAAAACAATCATCATCAACATTCACCTCATCACTCTGAAGATACACCCCTCTCAAGATTGCTTTAAATCAAAATGGATACCTATACAGGAGAATAAATGCAGTCCATAAATCACTGAGGCTTTATTGGGTTCGGCTTCAAAATCTGTTTGGGCTTGGAGGCAATATAGGAGAGTTAGCCAAGTCCCAATAATTCAGAATTGCATTAGACCCACTGGCACTTTCACAGATTTATATAGAAAAAAGAGAAAAAGGCATACGTATTGGCAATACATGAGTGAACAGGTGGGATGATGGAGACCTTGCATATTGTATAATTCAGTATACAGCACATGGGGGAAAAAAGGCATGAAAGCACTCTGCTGTAGAGTTAGAGATGATGGGGAAACAAAATGAAACGGTGGTTTGAGCCTAACGATGGCACTGGAAACCTGGAGTTCCTCGGCAGCGGCCCCGCTGCGCCGCAGAGGGGAGAGCGTTTCAGACTCTGAGCCCTTCCTCTGGAGCACGCTGCAGCTGGCCAATTTACAAGCAGCATGAAAAATGCACTAACGCTTGGCCGCTGTCCCCGTCTGCTCCTCAACAATGAACTGGCATCCCTCATCGAAAACGGACAGCGGGAGGAGTTCAGGCTCAATAATGGCAGCGCAGGAAGAAGCACTTCTAACTATTTTACAGCAGCTTGTCGTAGCCGCTGAGAGCGGTCTGACATGTTTAATTAACAGGTCAGATCAAGAGGTTAGAAGGACCTCTGCTGCTCCCCCATAACTACATGGGAGGCTCCAACAAATACTAATTACACTTCGCTATCATGCTCACACAGAGAGCAGCCTACTTATCTGCGCCATCTCGCCTCGGTGCTGAAGTTTGCCTGGATCTCTTTGAGACAAACCAACATTCTGAGCATTTAGAGCTTTCAATAGCTTCTGAGGAAAATGTCATTGCTGTGATTACAGTATATAATTGATTAATGACTCCTTAAGGACATTATTGAGTCACAAATAACCTCACAAAGATGTTAAAGGGAAAGTTGGAAAAGTCAGAATTGATTCATCCCCTTAAATGTTCTCAAATTCAGGGCAGCCTGCTGAGCACTTGACCCTGTATCAGTGGTTTTCTTGCAATTCTAAATGTCTCCTGCTATTACAGTCACTTTAATCAATTGGTTTCCTGGCTTTTTTTCTTTCTTAAACAGGTATGGCATGTCTTTCCTGTTTGTTTTGTCTAAAACAGATTTAGAGTTCCTAGAAAAAGGATCTGCTCACCTATAAGATTTATCACATCCAAAAACTTTCTCCATCTCTTTATCAACTATGACCAGCTTCCATATTGGTAGGAAACCGGTATTTCTGCAGCCGTTTCAACATTGGGATGATGTGTACAGACAGTTTTTCACAGCATAGAGTTTTGCATGAAGCCAAGAATTTGCTCTGTCTGTCATTTCAGGTGGAGGTGCATATCTTCTTCTCTACTTTCAAACCGGCCTGTCTGATGGGTTCATTGGTCTTTATGGTGCTTTTTGTCCACTAACGTTCTCTTTCAAGCCTTCAAAAACAAATGGATTTATGCAAACATTTATTTAAACTGAGATGGAATCCATTTACTCAATAACTGGCTTCTGCATTTAATCAGTAGGAGTGGTTTGTATTAAGGATATTACAGTAAAGGGGATAAAAACACAAAAAGACTTTTAAAACCTCTTAAGCCCAGAGGGTTATAAGAGAAAATTTCACCTGACATATGTGAATTTTAACAAGTGAAGCTCCCAAACTATAAATTGGAAATACAATTCTTTGCATTTGTATGACGGAAAGGCATTGAGGAATCTTTTCCAGGTGGAACCAGTATTGTAAATGTCATTGTGTCTGATTTATAGCTGATTAAACAAAGAAAAAAATGAAAAATATTTAGCCTTGCCATAACTTTTTCCAAAATACACACTGAAAGACACCATGAAACTCCATTGGAAACTCTGGATGAACCCTGAGACTTTATAGATCCACATCTTGACTATAACTCAAGCAAATCTGGACTAAATAAGATGTAGCATGTTTGTTCCACAAAGGTTTTAGGTGGCAGTGTGCTAGCTACAAATGTGATTTTGGCATAGCGGTGCCAAAAGTGGCCAAATTGGGCCAAAATAATTTTTCCACTCATAAAAGGGAATCTTACCAGACAAATATGCTGATTTACATTATTGGAGACCTTCTGCATAAGACATAGCCTTTGCTCCTTAGAATTAGCTGTTGTTTGATAAAAAAAATTTACCACTGAACACATAATAGTATCACCTAACTGAATAGAGAATAAGAATGACAGAGCAAGCTATAATGTATGCCGGTTACATCACCTGAAATGGTTGCACAATTACCTCTGACCCCTCCTTGGAAAGGTCTGAGCCTCTGGTTTCCAATGATGCCGGTCAATAGGGGGTGTGGCTAAAAAAGAATACCTGCTGTCGCATTATTCCGGCAGAGTCATGTCAGGTGGAATTTTAAATCTCATTTTATATAAAGAGCTATAAAACAAAAAGTATTTGTGAAAAAATAATTTTCAAACATGTTTTAGAAATTTTAGAGCCCCATTTTTAAAGGCATTTGAATGAAACACTACGTGATCAACACAGATCAAATAGATCAACATGAGCATGAGTCAGATGGGCTGGTACCAGGCCCGCTGGGCTCAAGAGGATTATTATACAATATTTTTTACATACTATCAAATAATGCAGTAATGTACTTTGTTTTGGTCTTTCTTATTCATTTCCAGAAAAAATCATTTAAAGTTTGAGGCTGTGATGTTAAAAAAATGTGAAAAGGGCTCCTGGGTTTGAAAACTGTTGCAAGGTGATTTGGTTTTAATTGTTTCAGACAAAAATGGCACTGTTGACAATGTTTTGGTAATGATTTTTAATATAAAAAGGTAAGGCATTTTTTTTTTTTTTTTCAACCCAATTCAGCCTTGCCAACAGTCTCCAGATCCCTCAACCTCAGCTCTCCTTCTGATATACTCCTTTATAATCTTGCTCATTTTTGCAAGTCAATAAAAAACTAAAATCAACATTTTAGCTGCACCACTATCTCCAGCTCACCGTCTTGTAAACTTTCCACTTCTCCTCATGCAACTCTCATCCCTTCACTGTTCGCCTAATGAAGAACCTTCCACATTCAGTCTTTTCTTCATCTGTCCTTCTGCCCACTCCTTCTGGCAGTTGATCCCAGGTACCTTCAGTACCCTCCGCAACTCTTTTACTAACATTGATTCCTCTCTAGGGATCACTCTCCAGAGTCTTTTCCATATGTCCATTGCTCTCCTTTGACGTCACCTGCAAATGTAACAACTCCTGCCTGAATTTATACATCAACCTGTTCATCATTGCTGCAGCAACAAAAAAGAAAAATTCAGAGATGATGTCTGATTAAATACCAGGCCCACTTTCACCCAAAGTATCACTCCTACCTCACACCATGGCCTCACTGCCAATGTCCTGTAACTCCTGGCCTTTCTAAATTTTTTCTACTCTGTTCATTTATTTTCCTTCCATACCTAAATATCCATCATGCCTCTGGTCTTACTGCAGATTAGCACATTACCCTCATTTTTAAAAACACCTTCCTGCATCCAGTAGGTCATATCTAAGCTGAGCCTTTGCAGCTTGACCAATGTTCACCTCTGCTCCAATCCAGTAACAGCTTGAGGCAGTGACTGAATAAAAAAAACAACTAAACAAACAAATGTGGTCAATAATAACAATGGAGCCTTTAAAACTCCCAAAATGAAATAGACTAGAGCTGCTGGTACTTGAGCTGCATGTTCTTGTTTCTCGGATTTACAGTTTAAATTTATGTACTATTATTTTCCTTCACCAAAAATATCGCCATTCTAATTCTTCGGTCTTTTAAAGGTTTTGTATATCATTAATAGGAGAAAACATTACTGTTGAATTATCTAAACTTACTGGTTGGTGGGAAGTACTTTTTCTTTCAAATGATTTCCTATGGGGAACTATTTCAGCTCCACAACCTACAAGACTCGGTTTCTAATCTTTAGAGGAAAATGGTTAGGAGTTGTGACAACATAAAGAAATCTGAGAAACTTCAGCAGAATATGAGGTGGATAACAGCAGAGCGCACAGAGTTATTCACTGCTGCAGGCAGGACCAACCCTACAACGGTATAAACTGGGGTGCTTGAAGAGGTATTACACACTGTTGCAGTGGGAGTTGTTCAAATGATTAAATATGTTTAAGAAGAATTAAATAAATTATCGAACCAATGGTTGCTTGAGTTCAGCTTGGAGTTATATAACGATTACTACAATTATCACTCCTACAGGGCAAAAAACTATGTTTCAAATAATGTTTCCTAAAGAATTAATCATTTAATATGGATTACAAATAAAATACTGTCATATTAAGCAGAGAAATTGTAATCAAACAATTATATATATATATATATATATTACATACATACTCGAAACGTTCTATTAACTGTATTGCTTTTCAATCAGTCTAATTTGCTTTATCTTTTTAGTTATTTTTTTAGTTACCGGTATGTTATTTAGTTTAACCAATTATTGTTTTCAAAACAATCAGTGGATGCCTATGACACGTTTGTTCATATTATGTGTATAACTGATTTATTGATATACTCACAATCTGAATTAAAATCTCTAGACGACTCTGTTGGTCGTTTCGTTTTTAACTTTCAAATAAAATGGAATTGAAAGTAAAATTCTTATATAACTAACCTTGCCATTTAGTTGCTTTTTGTATTTGTTTTTTTTGCTTGAGGTTAATTGTTCAACATTTGCTATGCATCTGTCAGGATGAGGGACTTTGGAAAAGGTAGA